TGTCATATTTTCATTTAGTTCTAATAAATTAAGATCATTTTTTATACAATAAGCCCTAGTCTTCCTAGGTCTACCTCTGCCTTTCTTAACATAAGTCGAATATAAAGCATCTACTCTTCTAATTGGATCATCAGATGGTCGACGCTTAATGTGACCAAACCTTCTAAGACGACTTTCTCTAATTTTGTACGTCACAGGAGCTACACCAACTCTATCACGGATATATTCATTTCGCATTTTGTTTTTAAGTGTAAAGTCACTCGTCCATATTAAGGCTTTGTTGTTGTTGTTGTTGTTGTAGTGATAGTGGTATTTTTGATGCAATGTTAAAGATTTTAGTGTTATGAACATAAGAATTGAACTTTAGATATGTAAACAAAAACAACAACAACAAAACAACAACAAAGCCTTAATCCCACTACTTGGGGTCGGCTACATGAATCCATTTTCTCCATTGCGTCCTATTTAATGTCATATTTTCATTTAGTTCTAATAAATTAAGATCATTTTTTATACAATAAGCCCAAGTCTTCCTAGGTCTACCTCTGCCTTTCTTAACACAAGTCGAATTTAAAACATCTACTCTCCTAATCGGATCATCTAATGGTCGACGTTTAATATGACCAAACCATCTAAGGCGACTTTCTCTAATTTTGTCTGTCACAAGAGCTACACCAACCCTATCACGGATAATTTTATTTCGCATTTTGTCTCTAAGTGTAAATTCACTCATCCACCTAATCATTCTCATCTCGACAACACTAAACTTAGTATTATGCTTCTCTTTTAAAGGCCAACATTCAACGCCATAAAGCATTGCAGGTCTCACCACCGTCTTATAAAATTTTCCTTTCAGTCTAAGCGGTACTTTTCTATCACACATAAGGCACGAAACATTCCTCTTCAACCAACCAACTTGAGTTCTACTATTAACATCCCCATCTATATCACCATCGCTTTGAACAATAAACCCGAGATATCTAAATCGTTCCACCCAAAGTTACACTTATGTCACTGGAGCTACTACTACTAAAATTACATTCCATGTATTCAGTTTTAGTTCTACTCTAATGAAGGCCTTTTATACTCTAACGTAGGCCTTCAAGTTTTTCCCGGGCTATCCACGAGAAGGATATCATCAGCAAAAAGCATACACCAAGTTACATCCTCCCGTAAATGTCCAGTAAGGCCATCCATAACTAAA